CCCCAAAACCCCAAAACCCCAAAACCCCAAAACCCCAAAACCCCTTAAATCTAAGCATTATTGAACAGAAATAAATGCGACTAGCAATAAGAATACATTCTTGTTTAGAGTGTTTCTATCTGTCTATCATCCTTGGATGTGTTGGATTGCAAGTAGGATTCTTGAAATATTTTGAAACCAGGTTAGAAGACAAAGGTAATAAGTGGGCTGAACTATGGTTAAAAGCAATCATTTTATTTACTGGAGAGTCTCTTTGTTATGCTTTTTATCAATGGCAAATCTACTCAAACCCAGCACTCCCCTCGACAGAAGAGTTAAGACAAAGCCTGTTGCCATCATCATCTCAAAATTCAGTGCAAAAATCCTTCATATTCAAAGCTTTTTGTGAGTGAGTAATAATTTTCTCGACCCATGTTTCTTCATTGTTTATATAAGTCCGGATATTTCCAACATCATTGAGCTGCTAATGCTCCTTGCTCTAGTCATTTGTTGCTGGAGTTATGATGTTGATGGGTTAAAGAAAGCAACGATGTACGGCGCAATTGGTCTGATCTGAATTGGCATCCTTGGATGGTCTATTTATGGCATATGATATGAATGACTAGGCTGGAGAAAAATTGTAAAAGATTCGCTTTGGGCTGTAATACCGAGTGGTACCTTGATATGGAAATTTATGGATGAAGAGAAAACAGTGAGGAGTAATAATATATCCCAAACTAAGCTAGTTGGATTACAAGGCATATATGGCCTTATTATGACCTTCATTTGCTTCATTATTGTCTCAATTACTCAATGGTGGTTGTATGACTTCAACGTAAGCCAAGTACTGCAAAAATATCATGCAGTGGGCAACCTTCAGCACTTAAATCTCCTCAACATCCTCCTTCTACTCTCCCTACCCCTCTTACTCCTCTCTATTGGATTAAACAACACAACAAGAGTCTCAAACCTAAAGTACCCCACCCTCTTTCCAAACCCAGCATCACCACCCACGTGCTTTCCAAACTAAAAATCCTATTCACCCTCTCTTCTTTCCCTCTATATCTTTGTTGGATCCATATTACAGGCGCAGCGAGCATTTTCCTTGGAGTAGTTACGTTTATTTATGTGAAGAGGAAAGATCAAAGAGCTTCAGTGTAGATTTGGAGGTATGGAAGTTTTTGATTAATAAATTCTTCAAAATCGACTGTTATTGGAGGGGTTTTGGGGTTTTGGGGTTTTGGGG